CCCCCTCCCCCCCCCGCCCATCCCCTGGGTATGAAAAAATTAACATTGCCCAGAAACACTGAGGTGAGTTTGTTCCCTGTTGCAGGGGCTCTCACCCCCATGCCCTGCTGCCCAGCAGTTAATTCTGCCCCAAATCAATCCCATCCCCACATTGGTTGTGCCTCCCACCAGTTCTGGCCCCCAGCCTCAGCTTCGTAGTTCCTGTAGACCCCAGGGTTCCTCACCCCCATGCCAGACTGGGTGTGGGACTGCCATAGGGTTGCCTCTCCCACTTCCCAGGCTGGGAGGTGTGGGGCAGGGCAGAATTATTTCTGTAAAGCTGGGGATGGGAAGGGGACCTGAAAATGGGGGTATATCAGGGTCTAAGCAGCGTAAAGGGGCCGTAGTGTAAATAAGAATCAGCTCCCTTGTGCTCTCTTTTACACCAGAGCAAAGCAGGCGTGAAAGGCTCCCACTAGGGCAAGATTTTGCTTTGGAAGTGTCTTTATTGATAATTGTGAAGGCCCCCATGTGTTCTGTGAATGAGTGGATTCCCAGGCATACTTGCTATTTAAGGTCCATTTCAATTCAAGAGACAAGGACACACAGGATGCTCATGTTCTCACTGGCACAACTGATTAGCCGTTTGGCGTAGTGACTGAATGTGACTGGCTCACAGTCTGGTGAGCTGGTGCGTTCCCCTCTTGGCTGCAGGGTCTGAGCTTTCTTCACAGGCAAGTGATGTCTCACCCTTAAGGCTGTAAAGAAAACCTTTGCCATGTGAACTGGCTGTACACCCTTGCAGGCTGCCTGTCTGAGTCTGCAGACTGCTGGAAATAACAGGCCAAAGAATAGCATGACCTTGGCCATGTTGGTGTGTTAATTCTGGAGCCTAACGATGACCATTCAAATGTCCCACTGTGATTATTTCTGTACTGATAAAAAGGATGCCAAAAAAGAGTGAGGCAATTAGGCCAGGTTGACACTACAGACCTATATCAGGTGACTATTATTCTTCCCATCTTGTAGATAAGGACGCAGAGGGATTAAATGAGTTGTCCAAGGTGACTAGAAGCCTTGTCAGAACACGGGTGCTCTCAGCTATTCTAATGTTGCTGCCCTCCGCCAACAAATCTATTGGTACATATTCCTCATCTCCCTTTCCAACCAACTAGAGAATCTGTAAACAAAGAGAATTATAGAGCAGCTCAGAGAGGAGTTAAAAATAAACCTGAATTCGGGGGACCTCAAATCAGGGGCTTTAAAGTGACAACTTTAATTTAGAGAGAAAATGTATGTTTTTATAAAAAGCAGCTTATACAAAAGCCTAAAACTAGGTGAAACGATCCCATGTTGTTTTAAAATTCCAAAAGAAGCGTGTGAAAACCTAATCTTGCCTCAGAGTGTATGCAACCCCAACACCGTGACACATGCTAGCGCATGAGGGTCTGAAAGAGAAAGTGGCTAGAGGCTGATTATTGATGAAATGCAATGGTCTTTTTTCGTCAGCCATGCCAGAAACTGGGGGACGGGGTGAAGCAGCAGAAATAGAAGTAAACTAGACTTCCACAAATATAAACCCACAGGGTTATTTCCAACATAGATAAGGGTTGTATTTTAACTTGCTGCATTTTACCTTGAGAATGCCCCAAGGCATGAGAGGTTATAGTTGTAGCTAGTAGCAATAACTTGCAGTGAAGGGCATTTGCATATATGGTGATAAGCAGCTTGGGTGGTGGCAAGCAGCAGCCTGAGTTAAAGCTTGCTTGTCAGGTTTGTAATAGTCAGGAAAAATAGGTCACCTGTCTGCACTGGACCAGTCAAGTCCTTGTCAAGGGCAGCCAATCAGGAATAGCTATAAACACTAATATTCCCCATCAGTCTGCGGCTGCTCCCAGACTGGTGATTTTTGTCGATAGCCTCCAAATGCTGAAGCGGGGTGGGCTGTCAACCCAGCCTGGGCTCTGAGCAGGGACTGAAGCAGGCTGGGCATTAGCTACACAAGTATTGGAACAAGCGGTCCACTTTGTTACAAAACAATAGAATTCCTTTGTCGGGCGTTGGCAGGCTTGGCCCTGCTTTAAGGCCATTTTAGGCCCTGATCTTCTTCCTCTTCCCTGCCGGAGACCTCTTTTTCCTCCCCAGGATCGGTTCGCTGCTGTATGATTGAGGACGGATCTTCATTTCAGTGTAAGGGATGGAGAACAAATGGCCTTTCCACGGTGCCCAGTTGACCCCCTGGAAAGAGAACAAGGAACTCCCATCATTAAGCACACAAGCCATGGGTAGGAGAGTGGGATAGTACAGTACATAACTCAGATATTGGGAGGGTTATTTATTTGGATTTCTATCGTAAGTAGTAAGAGTCCCTTCCGCTCTCTGGACAGAAGTTAATGCACACACAGCTGGAGGCAGCCCACCTGACCCCCAGGGTCCAATTTCAGGTGCCCAGCCCAAGCCACTGCCCATGCCACACTGTCCCCCCATTGCTTCAGTGCAGACATACCCTCAAATTGCAAAGTCCCGCGCTCTATGCAGCTTGATAAGTGAAAGCCCGCATCCTATCCAGAAACCAATGAGCAGCCAGTGTAGAACATGGGGCAGCAGCGGCAGCTGATAGGCGGGCACTGCACTGAGCATCAGACAGCACTTTTCCAATGGAGAGCTGCAGTGCTTCACAAAGGCAGGCAGGTAGCAGCCTCTCTTCTCCTGGTGGCTCAGCAGAGGCACAGAGAGCTGAAGCAACATGCCTGAGGTGATGCCCCAGCCTTTTGCCTCTACAGACTAGGGTTCAAATCCAGATCACATGAGAGAGGTTCTGCTACCCATGCTGCCCTGGCTCTGTGGATCAACAGAGGACTCCGCTTGCCCGCTGCTGTCAATCCAGCACCTCGCAGCACCACTAAATTCAATGCTCAGTTCTGTGATCAGTGTGTCCGCAGCTGTGTTTCAAAGGATGAAACTGGAATCACTCTGAGTGTGTGTGTGCCGGTCTCATAGGCCCTACACTGGGGATTAGTTTCAACAGCCGGCCACGCGTCGGCTCTGTGCTATTTGACTGGAGTGCTGGAAGTCCCACCCCCTGCAGTCACACTGAAGTTACAGGTGCCCATGGTGGGGACCATAGTAATGACTGTGAAGTTACTGGGATGCCGTGGATTGGTTCCAACGCGCCCTTTTTAAAGGGAAGAAGTATGCCTGATCTATAACCACGGGATGCGTCTGGGCAGCCCTTCCTGACGCAGCCACGCTCTGTGCTGTACAGCATCACCTGTGTCCCTGACGCTGGGGAGAAGCAGTCCACAGATAGCAGAACCCTGGCACCCACCTCACTGTGTTTGTTTTCTCCGTATTTGCCATTGAGGTTAGCTAAGTGACAGTTTTTGTACCACCAGGCGCCATGGTGCGACCTTGCGCAGTTGCTGAGAGCCACATCATTGTCCCTGTCCCAGGTGGTGAATTTCCAGCCATTGTGGTACGTCAGTGCATCCCCTACAAGTGGCGAGAAGGAAATGTGAGGCACAGCGACCTGGGGCTGCCACTATCGCACTGCTGGAGGGGAGGC